GGTTTCTGGTTTTAATGGGCTTAAAATTGGGCTCTTTTTCTGTCTCTACAAGGCTTGAAGTGTGATGCATCTATAGTAGCAGATTATGGTTTTTTTTTTCTCCCTAAAAAAGACATAAAGGACCCAAAGTGTCATTTAGGATGCTGACACAAGGACACTTCTTGGCACTAGAGATCAGGCCTGCTGTCAGTCTGGCAGGAGTTCCCCATAACATAAATGAGATCCCCATTCATGGCAGGATTCATCTCAGAAAGTTTTGGAAGAGGTCAAAGGGTCTTCTCTGAGACATATCTCAGAGAAAACCTCTCTCTTGTCCTTCTCCCTCTGCTGCAGCAATGCATATACGGTGCAGGAATGAGGGAAGGGCTCTTGGAGCTTCACCTGGAAATGAGGGTCACAATCCCACCCCTCTGGTTTCCCACAGGAGGAGGGAGCTGTCCCAGGGACAGCTCTGTGTGTCACTCTGGGATGGCAGGAGATGTGTCCTGGTTTTGGTGCCACGTGAGCGAGCGGGTGAGTGCTCACGCTGGGCAAGGTGTGCACTGGGACGGTGCCAGGACACAGAGCACCTTCCCTCTGGCAGTTGAGCGGGCTCAGTCTGCCTTCCAAGGAGTAATGAGAGCTCCAGGACAAGAGCCCTCCATTGGCAGGCCGCAAAGGGAAATGAGAACGTGTCCTTCAGGAAAGAGGGGTCAGACCTTGCCAGGCTGGGGGTACTTCTAGGGAGGCTGGGAATGTGCTGGGAATGAGGGAGGCTCACTGCCAAGGGTCAGGGAGAGTGTGCAGGGCCCCCGCTCCAAAGGATCTCTGCTAGAGAAACGGGGACTCTCCAGGCCATTTCCACATCCTTTCCTTTTGCATAAGCAATGCTTGCCTTGCATGAGGAAAACAACAAACTCCTGCCCTCTAGAGACAGGAGACCTCCAGCTCTGCTGAATAAAATATCTGCCACAACCTCCTTTTGAAGCAGATGCTACCAACGCAGCCAGTTTTATCCTCCCCCAAGGCCCACTGGCCGGCGCAGCAGCTCAACGCTCTCTCCTCCCAGCCCTGGAAGGCCGGCTCGCAGGAGAGGCAGCCTGTCACAACCACTCTGGGTCAAGGCAGGAGTTTATTTGGAGAACTGCTGAATAAAGCAGTCACAGAAAACTTGGCAAAGGAAAGAAAACCCTCCCTCTGCACTCCCCAAACCCATCAGGGCAGGACGGCAAATGCCCACACCAAGCCCAGCGCTCGTTCTGTCCCTTCCCTGGCTGCCCGCAGCCTGTGCCGTCACCGCCTGGTCCACCACTGGGTGCTGGGCCCCAGGACACAGGAGGAGAGCAGGTGGATCTCCCAGGGTGCCACAGAAGCCCTGCACCCAGGTCCCACAGGGCTACAGCACTGGTGACATGCACTCTCGAGGTGTGGTGTGCTGGAGCAACTGTGCCGACATGTCCACATGCCCAGTTCCAAAGTAAGTGCTGTTAGTGTGTGGAAAGCTTGCTCTAAGGGCATTTCCTCACAGCTGCCAGCCAATACCCCTGACTCCCCTGGCAGCAGCTCCATCCATGCATTGGGTTTGAGACCCCAGCTGCCAACAGCAGTATTTCTCACACACATGCCTGCCCTGTACCCCTCAGTGTTTGCTCCAAACACACACCTAAATCACAGGCACTGAAAGAAACATCTTTCAGCTACCTCTTTGGAACCCGTCCCTGGCAGGATTGGTTTCTCAGCCCATGCTCCAAAATACAGTGTTTATCAGGTGCAGAAAGACAAGAACTATCTTTTAAAACAACTTAATCCTGTCCTCCTTTTCCTGCCCTTTACTGCCTGCAGCTAAAGCAGGCCCAAGGGGTGGAAAGTGGTTGTGAGGTACCTGTAACTGTGCTGGCACCTTGTCCTCACAGCAGCCATTTTTTTGAGGTTCCTTGTGAAACCACAGTTCCTGGACCCCAGGCTCTGTGACCTTTGGAAGATGACCTACAGGACTGTCCGATTGCTGGGAAAGATCGTGAGGTTCACACGCACACACTAAGGAGGCTACATCACACACATATGAGGAAAATACACAAATTATATGCCTTTCCACTTCAGTTGCTGGTAAAAATTGTTAAAGGGGAAAAAAAATCCTTATTAGGGCCCAAGTAGCACCCCTCACCTGTATTTTGTTCCTTTTTATGATGTGGTTATTTTAGGAGGCCTTTTAGCCCACCCTGCCATGTTCTTGGGGCTCAGAGCTCACCTCAGCTTTGTCAGGGGTGTTTCAGCCAGCAATTCAGGAATTCTGGGGAAAAGCCTCCTCTGGCAGCCCCAGGAATGATGCTGGTATCTGCAGCAGCAACACCAGTTCAGGATCACTCCTCTAAGGGGTCACTGCTGATTTACTGTGGGACAAACAGCCCTTCCAGCAGCATGCAGTGCTGTGAGGCAGCTGTCCAGGCACTAAATCCCTACTCCTGCAGCATGGCTCAGGGCTGCCCAGTGGGAGCTCTCCAGGTGCCACCTGCACGGCTGTGGGATGGCAGCACTGGGCAGGGGGTGAACACCAAGCGAGGGCTTCTGCTGCGGGCGGGAACAACTGCCAATGGATTTGCCTGGTATCCAGTAAATGTGCTGGTGGCAGCACATCTGGGCTGTGTCAGCAGGGTGAAAAGGCAGTTCCAAATGCTCACAATACTCTGAGCTCCCCAGGTCTCTGGGACGAGATATTACTGAATCCAGGGGGACAAAGAGGAAGTGGGAGAGAGATGCCAGCTTAAATCCCTGATGGCTGTTCAGAACTGCACAGGACAGGGTGGGTTAGCAGCCCCTCTCCAAAGTAAACACAGGAATAGCTAGTTTTAAAAATATATATATAGTTCCCTTCAGCTGTACACTCCAGCCTGTCAGTGGGTATTCAGGGGTCAGGGAGCGTTGTAACAGTGAAATACATCCTGAGCAGAGGAGCCAGGGAAGGAGCACTTGGATTTAATGCCAGAGGAATTTTAATGCCCAGGAGATGGGCAAGGTGACAGTGGCTTCAGCTAATGCTGCTTCTGCCACCTACGGTGTGGGGAGGTCACCGAGGGCCCTGTCGGGCAGCAGGGTCGTGACCGCCGGCCCCGCACAGGCTGTCTGGTTCCACTCTCACTGCCCAAGGCAAGTGCCAGGATTTATCCGGTAAGGAAACAGGACTCTGAGGCTGGTGCTGCCAGGCACTGGCACCAGTGCCCAGCTGGAATCCCTCCTGGCGTTACTCCTTCAGAGTTCCCTTTTATTGTCAACAGTGCACACAAGTGTGCAGGTCCAGAGCACATATGCTATCCCAGTGAGCTCTGTGCTGGGAGGTAAGGATTCTGAAGAGGTCTGGAAAGGATGGAACAGCCTGTTCCCTTGCATTAGTAGAGAGGAAGAGGTGCACACAGGTGTCCTTACTGCAAGGCCTACAGGGAGGAACCCATTGAGGGAGAGGGCCCACAGAAACAACACTGCTGAACACCTGTCTCAGAAGGGACATTATTCCGAAGTCCTCTCCTTCCTCACAGCTCTGTGGGCACTGATCACAGAGCTCACATGTGCCAGATCAATGCCAAATCCCAAAAGGGCACATGCTCTCCATGGGACGCTCGGCAGAGAGAGGAGCACACAAGTCTCAGCAATGGGCAGTGACGGATCTCAGTTCTCCAAGGTCAGAAGGAGCCAAGCTTTTAGGCCATCAGATATTACAGGGGGTAACAACAACTGTTCTGACAGAACACCACTGCTCCTCTGGGAAAAGCAGTTGTTCTTAGTCCTGAGCCGGATGCTGAACACCTCAGCAGTGCCCAAGGGAACCTTTTTTCATGGATACTACTACGCAGCACGTTATAGGAATCCACACACAAGGACAAGTACCTGAGACCAGGTGGAGCAGCTCAGCCTGGATGCTGGCTATGGTCACATCCCATCCCAGATCCAGCCTGCTTTGCCTGCCCTTGCTGAGTTCCTGACGAATACTAAAGGGGCATGCAGGGCAGCCTGGCTGGGCAGGAGGCAGGCTGGGCTCCAGAGGAGCCTGTGCCGTGTCCCCATGCCCACTGGGATCGTGGGACAGTGACACAGGGCTGCTCACACACACACAGACACCCCAAGGCGCTCGTCACACCTGCCTCTGAGCTCCAGGCTCAGAGCGGACACCATCCCAAAGGGATCCCTCCTGCCCCATGTGCTTCCAGCACTGCTCCACGGAGCTGTATAGGATCAGAGAGTGACACACAGCTGCTCCTGCAGCCACCTCTGGGTGCCTTTCCTTTTGGGCATTGCCAGCTGAGGCTCTAACCTGGGGTGGGGTGTGAGCACCCACTCCTTGAGATTCTGTGCCCTACGAGGACTCTGCCTTGCTCATCCCATAGCTTAGATTCAACAGTTTTAATGAATGGCTTTGATGTAATATGAAAGAATTCCTTCTTAGGTAAAACCCCCTTGCCAGCCATAGATCTCTTTCCTCTTTTACTTTGTTAAACACCCGCCACATTCTGACCCTGCAGCACCTGTGGTGCATCTGTGAGCGTTTAAGGGTGGATTTTTTCCTACTAGATCTGGTGCATGGAGACAGCTCTCATATTCCCTACAAAGATCACAGAATGCCTGCATAACTCATTTTTTAATTACTCGAGTCCTAAACCACTAATTTAGTGCAATTTCATACTGACTACATGTTGGTATTGTTAAGGTTTATGATCCAGTGATTTACAAGGCATGGTACGTCTGAACTCAAATTGGTTGGACTGATGGTTTAATTGAGCACAGGGACACGAGTGTAACAGTAACCACCACACTGGGGGATCATGGCAGTCCCACTAGCATGGGAATGCACTGGTGGAATTGGTTACATGAACACACAGGTTTTAATTGTAAAGGCCAAAACCAGACTTATTAAACTATTGTTTGGTAAATAGTGCTTCCACTTAATAAATAGTTCTGTCTCTAAAGATCAGATTAATCAGAAGAAAAAATTAATATTCTGTTTCTAAAAGCTGGTCTCAATAATGACACAGATATTGCTGCATGGGTGGTTTTGGACGCCTTTAGAGGAAGGACTTACATGAGTATGCAGTTTTTTCTCCACACCAGCTTGCAGAAGACAGTGATGCTGGTCACATCACACCCAGCCCGCGTTTCTAATAAAACCTGCAGTTCATGTTGATCTGGAGTGATAAATCCCTAACAAGTGAACACAAGTCTTTTCTCTCCTGCTGGCCTCAGTTTGTCCATCTAGAATGCACATGGTTGAAATTCCCACTTAAACTGACTGAGTATTTGTTATTACCTGTTACTGACACTGATAGTGTTTGGGGATCTGTTATTTCTTAGGGCTTTGAGGTTCCCCAGCTCAGGGTGTTTTCCCTGCCTCTTACATAATTAGGGGTCTGCCTGACCACATTCCTTCTTTCTCTCCTCCCTTCCCCATGAGTCCTGGAGTAAGGAGGCTGAGGGCAGAGACATGGGGAATTAGTGGGGAACCAAAACAGGCACTGTTCATTTAAGGTTCTCCTCTCTCTCCCTCTGCCTGGAACTCGTTCTGGCAGGAAAAACCCTCCAAGCCAGCCCAAACTTCATCTAAATTCATGCACTGGTAATTGTCTTTAAAGAGCAGTGAGAAAGCTACAGACAACAGCAGAAATATTGCATGGCTGGGTAAATTGCAATATTAATTACATCACTGAGAACTACTGCAATTCCCCATTCCCTGCTTCCTGCTGATGTTTTGCAGTCTTATTTTGCTGTTGTGGCATTACCTTGGCTGTGAACACCTTGCTGTCAGTGGCTCTTTGACATCAGCTCTGTCATCACAAGTGCTTGAATTCACAGCATTTCAGGACTTTGAGCTCCAGAAATACTTAGCTTCTATCACAGAGTTCATTTGATATGCTTATTTAAAAAAACCCAACCCAATAATCATCAGAAGAAGCCCATGGAAAGGCACATAAAGATGCCAGGCCTATTATCCTTTGCCTTTAAAGGAACCTCTTTGTGCTCCTGGTTGATCAACAACTCCCTGACACGAGGTTGTGGCCAGGGGGGAGCCGGGCTCCCAGGGAACAAGCGACAGGACAAGAGGAAATGGCCTCACGCTGTGCCAGGGGAGGTTCAGGTTGGATACTAGAACAGTGTATTCATGGAAAGGGGGTCAGACCCCCGTGGTGGAGTCCCCATCCCTGGAGGGTTTTAAAAGTCATGTGGATGTGGTTCTTGGGGATATGGTTTAGTGGTGGCCTTGGCAGTGCTGGGGGAATGGCTGAACTAGGTGACCCTGGAGGACTTTCCCAACCTAAAGGATTCCCCGATTTTTCTCTCTGCACCTCTTCTGCATTTACAACACAGATGGTGGCAGCCAGAAGTTCTTACAATTCCTATCCCCGTTCATCCGCCAGTTTTATATTCCTTAAACAGAAACACAACCATTAGGAAAGCATCAGGAAACCACTTGATGTTCCATTTGTGCCAGTGGAGACCTGCTGGAGCCATGCCAGATACCTGTGTGCTGTCACCCTCCTTGTTACCCAGTAAAACTGTTGATCAAACCAAATAAATGAAAGGAATATGAAGCCCGGCCCAGAATCTCCCAGATTTTACAAGAAAGCATAATTTTGGCAACTCCATAATCTCCCAGGTTTCACAAGAAAGCAGCAATTTTCCCCCAGCCATACATCTTGAAGCAGAAATAAGGATTCAGAGCACAAGCACTGCTGCCTGCTCCAAACCCAGCACCGTCACAGGGCACCATCCTTGACACATGCCCATGACAAAAGGGAAGGGATCGCTGCTGTGCCAGGGAGCTGCTGTGTGGGAGCACATCCTACTCCAATGCTCCATGATCCGTTGGGAGTTTGGGCATTTAAGTAAGCTCCAAATGGATAAAAAGGGCTCATGACTTAGGCTAGTGAATTTGTTTCATTCAGCAACACCAAAAGCTGTCAGGATTCACCCGGGCCCCTTGATGGGCAAATGGTATCTGCTCAGGTATGGCATGAGAAACCCCTTTTCCTTCTGTGCACAGAGATTTACAGCCCTTAAGGACAGAGTTTACAGATGCAGAGCTGGGGCTATTGCTAATAAAATGCAGTCTCAGATCATCAGCAGCTCCACTAACAGTCACATCTATCCATGCTCACCGTGTGAGGACCTGGCTCGGGGGGCATCCAGGGGGCAGGATTTGCCTCCCCCCATGCTCTTCCCTTCCCACGGTCAGAGGGGTTTGGGTTTGCTCAGTGCAGTTACCCAGAATTTGTGAATTATGCTCACAGAAGACATGGGAGTGTCAAAATGTGTCGCCCATGTCCTCGCATTTGCCTACAGCTGCATTTGTAAGGCAAATGTGGTGCCTCACTCTGGATAATTTCCATTAATTCTTAAAAGGTTTTCATGGGCTTGTTATTTTCTCAAACATCTGAATTTCAATTACAGCCTCCTCCTAGCATGCAGCAGCCTCACTGTGTGTGCTACTCTGCCAGTAACAGCTTCTCTCTTCCCCAGGGCCGCTGTATCAACTTCACCCGAGTTCCCTCTCAGTAGAGGAGGAGAAGCGGATACCAGGAGGAGAGACAGCCACATTGCCACTGTCCTACCCAGCCGAGAGAACCGAGCCCTTCCTCGCATCCCTTGGACCATCATCCAGCCCGAGCTCCGCAGGTTCCTGCATCCCTGCTCCGGCTCCTGCGTGCCGCCCACACGCTGGTGCTCTGCCGGGCAGTGCTGCCGCGTGTGCCTCTCTCCGTGCAACACCAAAGGACAGCGCAGACACCAAAGATGAGAATGCTTTTCTATTTTTGTTATTTGCTGTTTTTTTAAGGATTACAGATTCTCAGGACGCAATGTGCTTGTAGCGGAGACGCAGCGTTCCTCAGCTGCGGCGGAGGCACGTGGTATTTACACAGGGACTACTCGCCACAGGCGCAGGATAACAATTCCCACCAGGCTAAGCAGGCGCAGAGCCGAGTGCCTCAGAGCCATGTCAGATCCCCAACCCTCGCCAGCTCCTCCGTCGTGCCTTACGGGAACCTTCTGACTGGAAATCTTGTCACTCTAACACTGAAAAGTGCACACGCATGACAAAATGTAGACAGGATGCCTCGAGGTATCGGTGGCGAGCAAGACTTTGCCCTTTAGTTTTTGAAGACACCTTTCTCTCATTATGCACCCGGGACAGGAAGGAATTACTAGAGCGTTATTCCACGGGAAGACAGCCTGTAAGTAGAGATCTGGAGCTGAGTTGGAGGGACTGATGCTTCAAGACCTTGACACTGTGGCTGGTGGTTTTTTCCCCTTTCCTGCATTCACAGTTCAGTAGTGCATAAAACATCATCATCTATAAACATACCTAGCAGTCGTAGGCTTGTGTATTTTTTTTAGATTAAAAAAAGCAGTAGCCACTAAGCTGGTATCTCAGGGTTTTTTCCCCCCGCAAATCTCCAAGGGCTTTTCAGCGTCACAAGCCAGCAACTCTCTTTGCATGAGAATTTCAAAGTTTAATTAATATAATTAAAGGCAACAGCAAGCAGCAGCCTGTGAAGATTTTGCTCATCTTTTTTATGCCTTTTGACATTGAATGACCTATTACTGTATGTGTGTTCCTCGGCGGTGAAGGCGGCGCCAAGCATTGGGTACGATTCCGCAGTGGGAAAGACCTCCTTCCATCAATTTGGAAATTAAATTTATGGGAGTGCCGGCCATCACAAAACATCGACAATGTATGTATTATAATTTTTTAGAAAAACCAGTGTCGTGTCACGTCGACGATGCCAAATTATGTTAGCGTGAGCGGAAACACTGTGGGGGAGGAAGGAGGGAGCAGCTGAAGAAAAAGGCTCAAATGATCCAGTCACTTTCGATACTGTACTTCAGAGGCAGAATGGATATTCGAGTCGAAACCTGACAAAGCGCGCCCGCTTTGATGGGAACTGGTATAGACAATGACCAGTGGCTGGGTCAGTGGGATGTCTCTCTGCGAGCAGGGAGGCTTATCAAATGACACTAAAAATAAGTTCAACAACCATCATGTTGGAGGGGAAAAGGCGAACATTTCACATTTGGTGGGCATGAGTGTGCGCAAGATGGAAAGAGCAATGCGGAGCATCCTGGGCTAATTATCTCCTTTGTGCTCTTCATTGGAATCACAAGGGACAGAAATAATTCTCTTGGTCCATATCCAAATCCGTGGCACTGCCCAAAGAAGCCTTTACGTATATCCACTCGCTTACATCTTCTGCTTGAGTTTATTTATGTCACTGGTAGCCTCATCAGCAACAACCATGTCTGCACATTAGACTATAAATAAAATTATTATCTGAGTTTCAATCATTATTTCCTTCTTCTCTTCCCCCGTAACCTCCTGGGTCTGCACAGCTCAGACCTTCATTTTCCAGCTACACAGTCACCCACGGTACCAGACTCCAGAGGCTGCCCCTGGCCCTGAGTGGCACGGCGGGAAAGCCACCACGGCCGCGCCCAGGGATCCCGACTGCCCCCAGCCACGGAGACCCTGTTGGACACCGGCTCATGCCGTACGGGGCATCAGCCACACAACCAGAACCACTGAGTGCCCTCAGGGACGCCCTGGCACTGCCGTACCTTGTGGCAGCTTGGGTGCCACTGGTCCTGGGCTGGGGACGCTTGAGCCCACAGCTCCCAACCACCAAGCCCTTGGCTTAGTTAGAGCCCCTGATTAAACCTCTGTGCGCTGTCCAGCCTAAGGCCAGACCAAGAGCCGACACTAGGCAGGTGTGGCAGGACACAGGTGAGGTCCTGCACTGCTCCCCACGGTGCTGAGGTGCTACAGGCAGAAGCGCAGAGCTCAGCAGATGCCAAGTTAAGACACTCAGCTCCCTCTTCCTTATCCTCCATTTTCCACGTACACACGACACATTCCAAGGTACCACTGGAGCATCCGCTCGCATTCTGAGCTGCATTGGTAACAGAACATGCAGATGAAGAGGGGTTTTTTTCCCTCATGTATCTGCTGCCTCTCAAAAAATATTTTTAACCAACATAGCCACAGAAATAGAAATCCACTCATCATCTTTTGTCCTCTCTGTCTATTCATGTTCGTCCAAAACTGTGGAATGAGCAGTTCTTCACAGAATGGTTGATACCAAGCAAAACGGGATTTCGGGTCTCTACATGGATTTTCCCTTTTAATTGGCATAGTATCACAGCACATTGCACTTGGCATTTCACAGCAGATAATACCTGAGAGTTTCCTTATTACACAGTGTGGAATAACCGTCACAAATAATTTGGGGGGCAAGAGGCGAAGGGTGATAATTAATTATACTTTAAAATCCACCGATTAAATGACACAAGTGAGACTTCCTTGGCAGGAGGGCTCAGAATGCCTGAGAACCGGGAGTGGGAGGTTTACCAGAGTATGTTCCTTGCACACTATCAAAGCTTGGTATCTCCTTACAAACAGACCATGTCTCAGTAGCACTGTTGGCACCACTTTTAGGCTGCATGAGAACAGAAACAGTGTCTTGCAAAAGTAGATGGGCCTGGGAGCAAACCAGCCAATGTTCTACCTAGGGCACGTATGAACCCACTGGCCAACAGATCACACATCTCTCCACCTACCAGCGCATCACCAGCAAGGACAGCAAGTGGGTGAGATACTTTTTTCCCTGAGGAGTCATGTACAAAAAGCCCAGCAATGCCACCAGGCAGCTCTGAGGGCACCCTCTCACCAACGATGCAAGGCAGGACTCATGGGAACAAGATCCTCAATACAGCAAGGCTGGGTTTATTTTATATATTTTGATAATAGCAGAAATTACTTGGCTGCAGTTAGTAAGAAATAAAAATGAATTTTTCCATGTTCCCTTTCAGTTTTTTGATTAAACAAGAACTACAGCACATTAGGCTTGACTGTGCCAGGTACAACTGGAGAGCTGGGTCAGGTTGATCCCAGGGGAAATGGAAGGGAATTCCTAACCCTAATGCAGGCTCACCCTGAGCCATAGGCACTGCAGGACAGCCTGGGCTGGCCAGTATAAATTCTGGTTGGGATTTTTCCTGCAGGAAATGACTGTGCTACATATGTCTTCTTCTGATTGTCCCTAATACAACACCACAACTCTGCACTTCACACCCTGCAGTTCATTTTACACACTGTTCACTCATCACACAGGACTGCTCCCACACATGGGTGCAGCCCCACTCCTGGGGGTGCTGGGGCTGGGGTTTAAGGGCAAAGAAAAGCTTATCTTTGACCCCTCTCAGTACACGGCACCTGATGCAGGTCATGTTCGCATCCCTTTCCTGGGATTCTGACAGACTCCCAGGACTCAGATACCTGGCCTCTGCAAAACTCTGCTGACACCTTTAACGTACCCCCTTCCAGTTCAAATCAAGCTGATATACTCCAGCAAAAAAAAAAAAAAAAAAGAGGCAGTTCTAATTAGGGGAGGTTTTAGGTTTTTCCCCTGCACAAGGTAAAGGTCTTGGGAATTCTGTGTTCTGTCATTTTAGACCAAACCTCCCTTTCCAGCACTTTTATTGGTCACAATTAAGGCTGCATGGAAGGGTGAACAAAACCAGTGCTATCAATGAGGGTTTTTTCCAGGTGGGAAAAATCCCCATTTGATCCCATGTCATTGACTGCTGCCTCCTGACTACAGAAGCCCTGCTCTGCTGCAGGACAGGACTTTTTCCCAGTTCACTGGGAAGCAGCGAAGGTGCCATCCCCACCCGCCTTCAGAGTTCAGCTCAGGGAACTACTCCCTTGCCAGAGGAGCCGCTGAGGGGAATTCTAGAAGCTCAGCTGTGCAGTACTGGGAGGCAGGACTTGGCTCCGACCCCCCCACCCAGCCATCTAAAATCCACACCCTCAGCAGGATGGGCACAGGTAACCAGGTCACCTGCTGTGGATGCCAAGCTCAGTTGTAGCCAGAACAGTGTCCCAGACCTGACTGCCAAAGAGGTGGGTTCGGCTGTTGTCCCAAGCCAAGAGCCAGAGCTCCGGCCCACAGAGCTGCCCCTGACCAGGACAGTAGGCACACGGCCTCAGGCGGCCAAAGAGCTGGCACAGAGCTCCCAGGAACAGGCAGAGCAGGGAAAACGTGCTGAGCAGGGACTTCAGAGGCCGCAGCGGCACATTTGCTAATGAGCAGCTTCCGAGTACCTCTTGTGCCATTACAAAATTAATGTCACCATTTCTAGGGAGGGCTTTATTAGACCTGGCATGTACTATTTTATTTCACAAATCTGTTTTGCATTGGCTCAATTAAAATTGTTATATATTTTTGGGTCCTGTGTAGGTGCCATCTGTTTAACAGCGCAAGTGGGTCCTGTGATGCACTTGTAAATTTTGTGCTGCAATAATTTTTTTAATATAATGAAGGATTTTGGATACAAGAAGCTGCCTTTACTTAGTGATTTTTTGGTTTTTGGCAGTGAACTTGAAACGGTTCTTCCTGTGTTACAAGGATGGCTCTGCAGCCTATGGAAATTTATTTCCA